AATATTGTCTGCAGCATGAATATTCTCTGGCTGTCTGCCATCTTTGCCCCAATGTACTGTATATTGTACCTAACATACATTTTTTTATACATGCATACAGTAGTATTTAAAGGCATATAAAGTACAATGTATATATCATACAGTATATCTAATGTATGCATTTTAAAATTATGTTAGCATCATCTCTGTGATTGAATTAAAGCACACATCTTGTATAAATTCTTGTACAAAAATAAATAATATAATAAGTAAACTCTTGTATAAAAATATTTGCGGCATCATTTTATTTTGATGGTTTCTTAAGCGCATTTGTTGAATTTAAGTTACATTGCATCTACATGCCAACTAATTCTCATTAGATTATAAGTATACTCTTAAGTTGGGGTTATGGTATATTGACATGTACTTGCAAAGTTTTTTATATTCAGTTAAAGGAGCTGTCTGTTGAAGGAGCAGATCAACAGATATTAAGCAGACAGTCTACTTAGGCCCCGTTTACACTAATACATTTTAGTTTTAAGAAGATCTGCGTCCACACCAGCGTTTCTGAACAGCTCTCCGTCCACACTACATCGCTGGAAAAGCACATCACGTGACCACACACACACACACACACACACACACACACACACACACACACACACTCACACTCTAATGTGCACTGCAGCATATCTACCGAGATGAGAGCTGCACACTGGACTGTTAAACATGGATTTACCGATGGATCTAATCCTAAATATTATTTGTTAAACATAATATTTAATTCATCTTGTTGTCAATATCTAACAACATAATCCCCGACTTTGGTCTTTTGAATCTATTACTTGTTCTCAGTTAACGTGTCCTGGCTGAACGCTAAGATAAGTTAATATAATAATTAATGTAACCGCGTACACTGATTCTGCACATTTGACTGATTGCTTGCATTTATTTCCTATAATGTATAAGCTTGTTGTAAGGTATACTTTTATAATTGCCGTTATTGATTATTAAAACTGATTTTCAGCAAAATAGATGGTTTATATTTTCAATGAAAATGAAAGGAGGCAGTAATGTTATAGGGCTCCTTTTTGTTTATAAATATCCATACAGTGAAGATGATGGTCATATACAGTAAATATGTAGTTACACGATGCCTCAACTATTTTGGTGTCTGCTAAGTTGCTAATATCAAAATGTAAATAGGCAGTTCCTTAAATCATGTTTTCATTTTATTGTTAAGAAAGTGAAACGGCGTAGCCAGGATGATGTGAATGAGGTTGTACAGTACATAGTTGCCTTTGAAGATTTACCCGACGTGTCCCTGGGAGTTTGTTTTACATATCAGTCTGAACTTGTAAGGAATGGATGCAAGACTGAACTGTGTGTAGGCTGCCTAATATTAAGGAAACAGCCCCAATTAGATAGGCGAATGTCTGTAGCCCCGACTCCGTTTTCAGATGTCTCCGTTTTCCCCCATCCACACTTAGATGGAGCAGCAGCATTTTCAAATGAAAATGGCCTCTTCAGCATTTTCAAAATGCTCTGTTTTCGGCACAACTCTGGCGTAGTGAGGACGGATGGCATAACCATAGCAAAACTGTGTTTTAAAACTAAAGCATATTATTGTAAACAGGGCTTAGTTAACAAAATGTGCAATAGGGACCATCAAAATAAAGTCTTGCCATATTTGCTACCAGTTTACTACTTGAAAAGATAAAACTGACCCATTCCCCTCACATGTTCTCTGTATTTGCTCTTTTGTGTCTCTATTTTTCTGTTTAGCAGCCTTAGCCTTCTCCCTGGCCGCCACAGCACAGGCTCCCCGCATTATGACTGGCCCCACACCGGTGATGCCCAACGCGGCCCTGCGCACCCCTGCCCCCACCGCCCCCACCCTCATGCCCCTCATCCGACAGATCCAGACGTCTGCCCTCATGCCTACGGGCACACCTCACCCCACCGCCACCCTCCTGCCCCAGACCCCAGAGTCCGGCATCATCTATGCACCCTATGATTACCCCTACGCCCTCGCCCCTGCAACCTCCATTCTCGAATATCCTATTGACTCCAGTGGTGTTTTAGGTAAGACGTTTGGTCATTGGTTGTATATGTAAACCTATTTTGTACAGATGATGCATTTAATGGGGTTTAGAGTTCAAGCTGGGCGGTATGCCATACTAGTGATTTTGCATATATAAGAGTTAATAGTTCATGTAAATTTTATTTTTTTTATTTATTATGTTTTGTTCATATATTATTGTGTAATATGTTTTTTACTTAATATATTAAAAAATAGATATTTCATTCATTTATTTATAAATTTTCCTTTGGTTTAATCCTTTTTTATTAATAATAATTATTAAATAATAATAATAATAATAACAAATATAACAACAACAACAACAAAACTAATAATGAGAATAATAATATATGGTTGTAGATATAGACATGTTATGTTTCTTGTTTATATATTTTGTGTCTAAACACACACACACACACTCACATACACGTACTCATTAGGGCTGCACAATATATTGTTTTAGCATCGATATTGCAAAATAATCATTCGCAATAGTCACATCAAATGATCTGCAATGTCAAGTTCAGTTTTCAGTTTATTTATCCCTCAGAAAGTTTGAGTGGAATTATAGCGGACCAGGAACCATATTGTAAGTGATTGTGGAGTTTAATCTTAATAAACTGAAAGAGTGCATGTTTGATTTAAAGGCAAGTCCTTGAAATAATTTGTGTATAAAAAAAAATGAAAACAACTTAACTTATATACAGTAAAGAATATGTAATTTTATTTGCTTACAATCAATCATTCAATTAATAATACAGTTAAATAAAAAGAATACAAGTAAAATAAAGCAAATATAATAAAAATAGAAATAAATGTATGCAGATTATCTGGCCTACGAAAGCATCCCAGTCAATATAATATTATGAGTTCTTTCCAAATTGAGCTATTCAAGTGATCCGGTGAAAGTATTACATTCATATCACAATAAATATTGCAGAAAAACTAAATATCGCAACGTAAGATTTTTCAATTATTGTGCAGCCCTAATAAATAAATATTATTTATATATATATTTACAGTTGAAGTCAGAATTATTATTTGTTTAATTTAGATTAGAATAAAAACAGTTTTAAATCTTTTAAAAACTATTTTAAGGTCAAAATTATTAGACCCTTTAAGCTAGATTTATTCAAGCTCGATATTCAACAGAACAAACCATCACAATACAGTAACATGCCGAATTACCCTTACCTGCCAAGTTAACCTATATAACCTAGTTAAGCCTTTAAATGTCACTTTAAGCTGTATAGAAATGTCTTGAAAAATATCTAGTAAAATATTATTTACTGTCATCATGGCAAAGATAAAATAAATCAGTTATTAGAGATGAGTTATTAAAACTATTGTGTTTATAAATGCGTTGAAAAAATATTATCTTCATTAAACAGAAATTGGGGGAAAAATAAACAAGGGGGCTAATAATTCTGACTTCAACTGTATATATGTAATATTTTACTGTAATATATATATATATATATATATATATATATATTTATATATATATATATATATATATATATGTACATTTTCACTGTTAACTATTAACACAAACTTTTACCAAATTTGCTACTTTTGATAATTAGTAAGGTATTTACATGTAAGTGTAGGTACTGGGTAGGAATAAGGGATCTTTAATATGGTCATGCAGAATTAGGCATTAATATTTGCTTTAGAAGTATAATAAATGGCCAATATGCAATTTACACCAGTAAATAGTAAGAATCAAACTAAAGTGTGGCCTATTTTTGGTTCATTGAACCCATGGTTTTAGGTTTTATTAGATTTTTCTTCCTGTGTGTATACCGCCCAGCCTAGTTTAGATAACACAATTTGCTTCGAGATCCTCCAGTAGACTAACTCCAGCGTTCTGTCTTGTCCTTGTAGGTATGGCTTTCCCGACAAAAGGCTAGTACAGCTCAGGGGTTTAACACAGTCTTCAGCCCATACGAGTGTTAAAAATGCTTTGCTTTACAGCTGCCTTGGGACAAACAAACAAACAAAAAAAAAAAAAGACAAAACAGCAAATGGAAAAAACTGATATTCTAAGAAACAAAAGACTAAAGATCATTACTACTCATGTTTACACTGGTCTTGACTTATTCATAGATTAAAAATGGATATTCTCAGATAAATCCTGCTAATTAAGCCTCATTACATTCCTCTGTTTGAAAAGTAATCTATATTTGTTTAGCTTGTAATATTTGTATTACTTCTGTTTCCCGCTACTGTATCTTAGATGTTTAGAGAGTGATCAGTATTATTGCTAATATAACATGCTTGTGAAAAACCTTCTCCATGAAATAGCCCGTAGTGAATGAACCTTTGTATCGAGAGAAATACAAGGGCTGTGCGGTCATTGTATAAATTGTTTTGATGGAAATATGCCACATTTACTGAAAAAGGTCAATGATGTGTTTTCACTATGATGGGCCCTGGAGAAAAGGTCACTTGTGCCTTGAAATTTGGTCTTACAAGCCTTGTTTGTGAAACCGTTTTACGTGTGAAGTGTAGTGTTAATGTATTTTGATGAATAATCTGTTAATTCTTGTTTTGTTGGCAATGTTGCGCTCTGAGCAGGTGCAGTGACTACTAAAGTACGAAGGCAGGATATGCGCGTCCATCCTTACCAAAGGGTAGTGACCGCAGAACGAGGTTAGTTTAGCTCCAGTGTTCAAACTATGCTCTGTGTGTGTGTGCGTGTTTGTACTTTTTGTTCTTCAGTTTGCTGATTACACCGTCTGTTTCATTGCATCTCACACAAGAACTGATTTTAGTCATTTGTAACCTGCCAAACAACAACAAAAAGCATCATTTGAGATTTCAGTGTTGCTGTTATCAGGTATAACACATGCCAGTCAGACTGCGCAGGCTTTGTTTACTCACTAAACCTAGAAATGCATTGAAACTGTAGGTGTCATCAGCTTACTTGCCTCATTTTTTTTGAACATGTTCTTGAGGTCACTGAAGCAATGGTTAAAACAAAAGAACATTCTGAATGATTTAGTAGGTTTAAACATCCTGTGAAAGCTTATAATAACATTCCAAACTTAGAGATTTACACTCTGTTTCAGAATCTAGCGAGCTGCCTTTATAGATAGCAAAGTATATTTCATTTTCTGCTGAAAGTACTCGTCACATTTACATTGTGGATTTGTCTAATTTATGTTATAGAGCAGTGTTTCTCAACCATGTTCCTGGAAGACTACCAGCTCTGCACAATTTCTTAATCTAAAGAAGCTTTTATGGTATAAAAGGTTCCATAGGTATTAAAAGTTCTTCGTGGAACCATCAATCCCAATCAATAACCTTTATTTTTGAGAGTGTATGTAGCAAGTGGACAGGGCTGAGAGATGTGGAACGGGATGAGGCCGGTGCTTGGGTGATAGTGTGAAGAACCTGTGTCTTCCTCGAGTCCCACAGAGGAGCCCTGGCTTATAAAAGGAGGAGAGACAGTTATGGAAGACCAGAGAGCACCAGGCCTGGACACTTTTTTTATTGAAACAAGTTTAGATGGACACCTTGGCATCGGGAAGGAGGAGGCGGAGAAACAACAAACTTTTAAAAAAAAATTTAATAATGAAAATGTAAAACAAACAGACAGCAGCTGCTCGTTGAGACTGCTGCCAAATTGAAAGCAAAAGTAAAACAAAGTGTCCAGGTCTGGTCCTCTCTCGTCTTCCACTGCTCTATCTGCTCCATTTATAATCCAGAGCTTTCCCTGGGACTCACACAGGTGCTTCACATTATCACTCAAGCTCGAGCCTCATCCTGTTCGCACGACTCTTGGCCCCACCCACTCGCTACAGTGTAGAGCACTCACATGGCAAAATAACCAAATACCATAAAACGTGGGGATTGCGAATATATCGGCAGCCAAATCTGCCCATAAACCATTAAGGTTGTTATTATTATAGTCAGATACAAAAAGTAGTGTCAGCGCTAACATTCTTAGACTTTAATTAGCATTACTATAAATAGAATATACAAATGCTACAAAACATGTAGGGATGCACACTATATATCGGCAACCATATTGGTGTTGGCCGATAAACACTTTATGTTAAGGTTATTGTTATATTTGTTAAAGTGGATAAATTACAGCTTGATAAATTGCATATTTCTGTTTGTTTATTTACTTCATATGTATGCATTGGTGCCTTTCATATGACATGCATAATTCAAACTGCAAAAAATAAATGTATTTACTTTATTGTAAATAAATGATATTTGAAAAAGAGAGATCTAAATGTTTCCATGCAGTCTGCTTGTTTTATGTAGTTAAGGTGTTCAAATAAAATCAGTGTCTGTTGTTTTTATTTGCTTTTTTTTTGTAATAAGGATAAAAAAATCTTTTGAAATTATCGGTATATAAATCGGTTATCGCACTGGCCATAATTTCCTTATCAGTGCATCTCTAATGACATCAACAATTAAAATAAAGTGCGTATTTTTTATCATATCAATACAATTGAGTGCATTGCCATTTAATTGAAATGCATACATACAGACTTTAGGCCAAAATAAATCAACACGAGCTTTCCCATTTAAAATGTGCCTTAAAATACTTCCTCTGTAGGCAGCTCACTAGGTTTTGGAACAGACTGCTGTTATGATCTGAAAACTTCAGCACTTACATGAGTTGTATTTTGAACATGACCTGAAGCTTGGTGGTGGATGTCTGTCGATTAAAAAAAAATAAAGCTAGTGTTAGAACCACTTTGGGTTCAACGAACCTTCATGGAGCAAAACTGACTTTCCACGATGCTCCGTTACACTGATGACATTGTAAGGACCTTCAGTCTCACAGTCAATGAAGGGTAATGGAGCCTGCCTGTTTGTTTGCTTCGTTTATTCCCTCATTTTTCATTCCTTTGATATCTTTACTCAATTTTAGCAAATTTGCAAGTCGTTTTTATGTCGCTTAAGAACATTAGTGTCCGTTGAAACATTTTTCGGCAGCTTTTAAAGAAGTTTTGGGTTATCACTTTCTGAATAATAGAACAACTGAACAAGATTTAGCGCTTGGAAGATTTTTTATGAGGTATCATCTGATGTGATAAAGCATAATCTTTATTTATCATAGCAAAACAAGCATAAGTATAAGATGAGCTAGATTGGAATACAATGTCAGTTATCCTTAATACAGATTTATACTTCATATTTATAGAGAAAATTCAGTACTGCATATTATTTCAGCCTTGTTATACAGATATTTTCCCTTTATGCTCTGATTTATAAAGATTGCTTCTGGAGTGTTTGGAATATTTGCTCATAGTTTTTTTTATTTATTCATTTTTACTGCAGTTTTATGTATAGTTCTTTTTTAAACCTTTTTTTTAGGTTAAACGCTTTTTTCATTGAGCACATTCATGACAAACTCTTTCAAATGCCTTAAATGGAAATAAACTGGATCTAAGGGAATTACAGCACCAGCTTTTTAAAGACAGCTGTAATGAAGCTCATTTAAACTCATATTACAGAAACATTGATGTGCCAAAACTGTACATATAATACTTATGACTCCTGAAAAAAACTGTAAACGTGAGAAATCTACTGATCAATATAAGTGAATTTGACATCTGTCAAGATTTTAACATGTCAATTTAATAGACCAATACAACTGACCAGTTTAATGCATAACAATTGTGAAATTGCACAACAAAAGTCAAATCTATCTCGTCTGACTTACTGATCACAAGCCACGGAAATATCTCTGAGAGTTTGTAAAATGCGTTGGATGAAATGTGAATGGATGAATGTTCCTGGCTTGTACAGTGTCACATGAGATTGGTTAGACAGTTATGAAGGTTAGGACTTGATTGAGAGTGTTAAGTTATCATAAGCACTACCTTGATTCATAAAGGTTTGCTTATATGATCCCTTAAACTCTCCATTCGAGAAATTCCTCATCATAAAAAATATATATGGCACAAATATTTTGCACTGAAGATTTTTCTTTTAAATCACCAGCTCCAAGTCTGCGCTACTCAGACAGAGCAAAGTGAAACAAGAAAAAAAATGAAACAGCAAAACCTCATGAGATGTTAGGATGTTTATCAAGGCGGGACGGTCACACACTGTGCCTGCCTGTTAGCACAAGAACAACAGAAGGAATATTCCATTTTTGGTTTGTTTGTTTCTTGTTTGTCGGTTTGCAGTAAGCTTCTTTTGTTTTGTTTTTTTGTCAAATGTATGGAACATTAGTTATTGTGCGTGATGTAAGCAATATGTTTAACTATAAAGCAAGAACATTTATGAAATTCTATTGTATTTGTAAAAATGAATAGGGAATTTATTCTAGTAAGCTTAGAAAACAATGCCATGTATTTTCCTTTCCTTTTTTTCTTCCATAAGGGGTACATTTTGTTTTTAGGATGTCGTACCTATAAGTTATATATGCGAACCAAGTAGAATTGTGTTTCTAATTGTTTTTCTTGTGTTGTTTTAGCTCTAAATTTCAGCCAATGTGCTTTAGTATATCATTCTGTTTGATTAGCATTCTGTGTTTTTATTTTGTACATAGTCAAATTTTAAAGGCAATAAAATTTGAGTAAAAAAAAAAACCCACCAGATGTTTGGTTTTGTCTAGAAATCTTTTTGAATAGCCTGTCGCTCTCTGGTTTTACTTCTCTCGTCACACATCTCTGTAACTACTCACGAATCCATATCATTACCACTAGCAGCTTTGTGGCTTTGTATTGAAGCAGCACATTAATGCTTGATAGCAGTCAGACAATTCCTGCATCTATTAATCCGGGATCGCTCCCCTTTTACATCTTATTCCAAAACGCCAAACACTATTGACTGCCATTAACCATTAAGTGCTGTTAGTTTAATTCGTAATGACTCTGTAATTGATTCGCCTCTTTGCTTCTTTAACCATTTTCACCTGGGAGATGGGTTCTGGAGTGAAATCATGAGGACGCTTCATGATTTCACCGTTAATGTAGACAGTTTTCTCTTACAGTAGCTGTAATTAGTAATGTCATATTGTCATCCAACCGTCACTAGCTGAAACTAATCTCCTTCTCTATCTTTTTTTCTTTTGTGTCCTTTTATGTCCTTTTATTTATTTATTTTCGTTTCCCCCCTCTGTCTGTCCATTTTTTTTTTTTATTTCTCTAACAACCCAGCCGCCACCGGCAACTAACCAATGACCCTCTGAACTCTTCACCCAATGATGACCTGACCATTGCCTGCCTGCTGACCAGTTCTCTGGCTCTCGTCCTTCGCTTCTATGTTTTGGCGGCCTGCTGGTGAGCCCAGAAGCAGCTTTAATTCGCTTAACACAGCCCAGAAGCCGTGATGGCCCCACGCCATCACCCACAGAACCGAAATGCTCCCCTTCTCAAACTGAGGATCTCCTCGGCCAGGTGACCTGGGCTTTCAAAGCCTGCACTGAAGTTTTATAGCAATAACGCTGTCGGGGGGGCGACAATTAAAAATCCCACTTTCACATGCACACACTGCATAAACACCAATCTTTATGGTTTTTTTAAATTAATTGAGCATAATGTCTAAACTGTGTCAGTTCAGCCCAAAATGAACATATCACCTCATTAAACGTCTGCACATCCAAAGAAATAACATATAAAAAAGTGATTAATTGATATCAGTTGAGAAGTTTAATTTAGTTCCTACACTGTAAAAAAAATCCTGGTCTGATGTTTAAGTTGAATCAAATGAATCTTATGAGTGTACTGAACTTATGTTAAACAATCCTAAAACAGCTTGCATAACTTAAGTTAATCATGATCTAATTTAATTTTATAAGTTACAATGAACTAAAGCATATGCTATCATAACAAACTGATCACATAATTTTACAGTGTAGTCTTTTATGTATTTGTCATGAATCAGTATCAGTTCTTAAAGGGATCGTTTACCCAAAAATTAAACTCGCCCTCATGTTACAAATCAGTTTCTTTATTCCATTGAACACTAAGGAAGATATTTTGATGAAAGTGCACTGCACTGAAAAAAGATTATTCTTTGAACCAATGCTGAAATAAGTTGACTCGACTTAAAATTGTATAGCAATTTGCTGTAGAGCTTTTTTTTTTTGTTGACTTAACTGGAATTGAGTCAGTGCAGTGCTTGGGTGAAAGGTTGAGTCAACTTAAAACTGTAAAGCAACTTGCTGCAGTTGAGTCCACTTTTTTACAGTGAGTAGCCATTGACTAGCATACACTGTAAAAAGCGATTAGTTAAAAAAGGCGAGTAAACTCATTGCCTTCAAATTATTAAGTAAATAAATTACGTGCATAATTAGAAACATTAAGTAACCTTGTCTAAGTTACAGCATAAATACTCAATTTAAAAATCAATTTGTCATTTTTAAGGCGATGGGTTTACTCACTTTTTAAAGTAATCACATTTTAAAATGTACACTGTAAAAAGCAATAGCTTAAAAAAAAGAGAATAAACCCATCACTTTAAAAATGACAAGATGAATTTATTTAAGAAATGTAACTATTTCTGGGGTGACTTAGAAGTGTTAAGTTGACTTATTTTTTTTATAATTATGCACATAGCTCATTTACTTAACTTGAAGGCAATGGGTTTACTCACTTCAACTAATCACTGTTTTACAGTGTAGTTGGAACAACAAATACTGTAGAAGTCAGTGGTTGTGTCTTGATTTTTAGACAACACATTACTAAAGTTTTAACCTAAGAAGAGTTATGAAATTGTTTGGTTTGGGATATATTTTTTCCAATCACAACAAAAGAAAAGATTGTTAATCTAATCAGTTGTCATTTTCAGATATTTTGTCATTGGTGGAAATGTTATCGAAATTTTGTTGAATTAAACAAATATTAACATTACCCCACCCAATTAGCATATTTCGCACCACTCATCCAACAAGGGCATGTTTTGATACTTTTCAAAAGTTCCATCTTTCAATTCTTCCAATTTTTGGGGGAAATTCAGGCTTGATGTGGCATGACAGATTTCTGTATATTCATGTCTCAATTCCAATGACAACACTGAGTAAATTAACCATTCAACCTGGATGATGTAACAGCAGCCATATTGTGCCAGACTGCATACCACTCACCATCTGATTGCTGGAGAGGAGACAGAGTGATGAACCCAATTCTGATATGGGGATGGTTAAGAGGCCATGATGTACAGAGGCCATTGAGCAAATTTGGCCAGGATGCCGGGTGTTAAACCCCTACTCTTTTTATCCTCATCCTGGGATTTTTAGCAACCACAAAGAGTCAGGACCTCGTTTTAACATCTCATCCAAAAGACAGTGCTCACTAAGCAGTATAGAGCCCCCTTCACTATACTGGAGCATTAGGACCCACACAGACCGCAGGTTGAGTGCCCCCTGCTGGTCTCACTAACACCACCTTCAACAGCAACCTAGCTTTCTCATGTGGTCTTCCATCCAGGTACTGACCTAGCGCTGCTCTGCTTTGCTTTAGTGGGCAATAATTATGGGCATTAATTAATCAATATTTCAACCAAGGAAAGATGTCAAAAGTAGATTTCAAATTGTGTATGTCATTACATTTAGCATCTTGGGTGAATAAATGATGACAGAATTTTCATTTTGGGCTTAACTGACCCTTTAAACACTGTTAGTGCACTGCAGTTCTCAAAACAAAACAAAAAAAAAAACATCCTGAAGTGTTAAAAAAAACCCAGCAGTTTACTTTTGGACCTTTTAATGTCCACAAGGGATGTAAAAGCCATGCTTGCCTACCAGCGTTTTCTTCAGAGAGCTGTTGAAAGCATCCAGACACAAGTGTACAAACGCTGAACATCGATCAATATGTTTTTAATACGAGGGTGCTGCACAGGATATATCTATATTTTTCACAAGTGATCCTTTTGTATTAAAAAAAAGAAACAGTATTGTCAAAATGTGATGAACAAGCACCGTTTATTTCCTAACGAGAAATTTTAGAGACCAAAATGGTGTCTTTTTTGTTTTTGTTTGAAAAAATAAAATGGAAGTGCCTTATTTTACACAATATCATCGATTACGAACAAGTATGAATGTCCATCAACGTGTTACATATGCCAACATATCAGGTATTTCTGTTCAATTCCTCTTTATCTGTGATCATGAAAACGAGGTGTACAGAAACTTTGTATGTGCATTTTATTTACAAATAATAATGATTAATGGAGTTTCACCCTGTCACACTACATTGGGGTCCTTTTATGCTTGCAATCTGTTTGTATTTGATCATGTATGTGTCCATGCTCTCTAATATGTTGTTACTATATGAAGCCCCATCGTTATGAAACTTGTTACTTGGTTTCACTATTTTACATTTATATCTCAAGGAGCATTTATTCAATTCAGCAGGTCGATCATTATAAAGGTTTAGGGTTAATTAATACAGAACTCTATTAATAATTCAGAATTGAGGTGTAACGGGAGAGTGTTTGTGTGCGGACATGTCATATTTCTCAATATCTTCCTATGCAATTTGTTCATTATTGTTTTAATGGTTAAAGTTTCTTCAGTTGGTCTTCCGGTTACTTTTACAGATCTCTCTTGAACAATGAAACTAAAAGCATGTTAACACAAATATGATTACATTTTGCGATTCGGTTTTCATAACTAGATATTGAGAAGATACATCTCTTTTTTTGTGATAATATTGGTTGTATTTATGCAAAGCAAATTGAATTTTTTTGATATTTGAGGTTATGATGCAATTGCATGTCTTTTTTTTTATAGTAACATGAAGGTTGCTAAAGGAAATATCCTGCCAATACATTTGATGCATTGAGTTTTTCCAAGGATGTCAGCTTGACCAGGAACTGGAGTTATTTGTTATTGTGTGTGTGTGTGTGTATTTTTTTTAATTAAGTGTTTGCTTTCCATGCAGTATTACTATAGACTGATGTGTGTCGATGTGTGTGAGCATATGCGTTTACGGGTGATTGTGTGAGTGAGTGTATATGTATTGTACATGCCAATGAACTGCAACTCCCATTATTATTGTCTCTTTTTTTTGCAAACCCAAGCAGCTCCCTGCATTGGAAATTATACAGTCCTATTTATAACCATTGTAACATTTTATAATGTATTTTTCTATCATATTTTGTATGTGAGAAATAACATTAAATCACATTTCCAGATATGAACAGTATGCCTTATTACAAAAAAAATGACATGAAAGACCTATTTTTTCTCTCCATGATGATATAATTCATGGGTGATGGAAAATGCAAAACCCCATTCGATGAACAACATTATTTTATTCTGAGCAAGTCATCATTATTTGCTGGTTTGTCCAGCCGATTTGAATGTTATCACTCGATTGAATGGCTGTTATCAGTGGTTATCTGCTGATAGATATGGGCCAGTAGGGGCTTTTTGCGCCTACTAGTAGGCTCAGAAGGCTGTTACCATCAATCCACGTGGTTAATCAGCTATAGATCACATATGGCTGCGGCCGGAAATTGACGAGAATTATTTATATTATCTATTAAATTTCCCATACTGTAAATACCTCATTACTTCAACTTAAATGGAACAAGTTCACAGTACTTGGATTAGTTTTTTTTTTAACTCAAATGTTTTGTTGCA